AATTAAAAGAAATCTTTTTTTTTTTTTTTTTAAATCCCGATCCCCGATTTTTTCCCCCCAATTCCGATCTTTTGAAAATCACGTGATCGGGGATCGGACATCTGTAGACTGTGCTCACGTGAACAGGAAGATTGAGGCTGTGTCATGTGCCCGTGAGTAATAAATGCCCACATCGGGTTGTATTTTGGACGTTCTGCCTCTGCCTCTTTGCTTGGTCGGGCCGCTCAACGGTCAGCTTCACACTTCTACATAAAAGGAAATGATTGAAGTTGACTTTTTAAGGGCGGGTAAACAAAAATATCCTTGAGAATTTCAAAATACAAATTATTTAATGTACATGTATTATAATAATCTATGTTATATAAATTATGTGATATGAGGTCTTAGCTTTATTATGTCGTTAAATGGAAAAAGTGCATTTTCATGGTTAGAAAGGCTGCATTACATTATGGCAATGTCACTTTTTGAACTTGAACCATTCTATTATTGGCCTTTACTCACTTAACCATTGTATCCACATAATCAGAAAATGCATCAACATTTTCATTTTATAAAGCTCTCCCCACAGCCCTTATTAGTGGTTATTTATCCAGAATACTGGCCTGGTTTTGATCCATATCAGACTAAATACAGCCATATTTCCCACACACCTTTAAATCCATGTCAGGAGGGTCTTGTTCCAAACTGGCTTTATCCTCAGCCACCCTCGCCCTTCTCTCCCTGATGAAGATCTCCAGCTCGTGATCCATCTCCTTTTGGCAGAGTCATTCAACCCAACTGAAGACACAACATGTCACACAGGTCTGGCATCATATAAAACAGTGTATGAAGAAGTCAGACTGCACAATTTATCATTTTAACTAGCGAAGGTAACAGCTAATATTCAGGGTTTTTTTCAGCTGTGTGCCATGCATAATGTATGTGCAACACAGACCACAGCTGGTGATTTCACTAATTAGCCAAATAAATTTAATGACGTGCAAGCTCGAAACTAAATGATCCGTTGTGTACAGCCTTAAGGCAATTTCGTGTTCATTATCTGTGGACATAATGAAGAAAAGTACACAAGAAAGTTACATTTTAGCACCTGCAATTAGGGCATTTCAATGTTTTTAAAGTAAGTCGATAATGCTACTGTCACTTTACTTTTCCGTAGTCAGGCAACCACAATGAACAAGATAGTATCATTTCCCATACAGATAGCAATGAACCACTTAATGATATTAGCTTAGCGGCTATAATTAATACACTTCAAATATAGTAATTAGCTTTCAAAATGATGTTAACAGGTTGTATATAATAATGCTTGCTTAGTTGGTGCAAAGTAACCTACACAAAGCTTTACGTAAGCTAACGTTTTAGCTCTAACTGAAGAGAGGCAAACTTAAAGTAAAGCCAATAAGAACGACACAATAATGAGGAAAGCTAACCTGTGCTAATAACTAGCCATTCGCCCGGCTAGCGTTACTTCTAAGATATCTCTCAGTGGTAGTCTCGTCAACAACAAATAAAACCTACCATTGATTGAGCGATGTTTGAATATGACGATACCAGATAAGGCAAGGTTTGCTAACTAGCAACTGCTGGCGGCACCTTGGTTGTCCACTGAGCTCATAACGTTCTAGCACGTTAATCATAAATGCGCAATACTTCCGGTTTTAAATGTCAAAATAAAAGCACATGCATTGTAATATCTCAGCTGATAACTATTCTGCAACGCAAGAAATATTTAGTGTCTGTTGTGTCAAAAGGACCATTCTATATTTCTGGGTTAAAGCAACAACAAAAATCACAATGAATTGGTCCCAATATTTCATCTTTATCTCATAATATGAACTTATTAAGAATAATGCATATTGAACTGGTTTCATTAGTGAGTTTATTTAAGGCAATTAGTTAGAAGCCCTATTTTATCAGTAGCCTATGTCTGCACAGCAGTTACAATGGTCAAATTACATTAAAACAGGATTGTCCCCATTTTTTCTTTAATAGTTACTAACATTAAATATTTTAATGAGATATGGACCGCAAAACAAAAAATGTGCCTGAATAACGAATTTAGCAGTGGACATAAAAGTCAACTGAGTGTCACTTGCAATGACAGTGGTGTGTTTTTATTTATTAACTTTTTACATTAAAAACAAGTTAGAATTTTCAAAAGGTCTTATGTTTGGGGGGGGGGGCTTTTTCCAGTTTAGAGCAATAGCCCCACCAAATGTCTTTGCACGTCCCTGTCACTCAATAATTTGCTCTTTCAGGCTGGCAATGTTTTTTTTAGCATATAATTTACAGAACATGTCGAGAAAAGTTAGTGTGAGCAGATTTAAAAACAGCATTTTTTAAAAAGGTAGTTAAAATCTGAAGCAGACCTATGTTAAATGGACATTTTCCTGATATGTTGTTCTGTAAAGCTCTAGTACCTTTATATATACAGTCTATGCTCTACAGCGCACTCTTTCACGACACATTTTGTGTTCTTACTTTGAAGGCATATGGCTACACTTCCTGTCTTTGACTCTAACTTGACATGTGGTGTCTCAGCTGTGTGGCATCGCATCATCGTTCACGCCCACTTTCCCTTTAGATTCCATCCACTCTTTAAGAACACATGTTGCATTCATGTCCTCGAAAAAAGGTTGTTACGGTAATGAAGGAAACATTTGTTATCCACAAACAGGTAAAGGCAAGCTATACTGGTTTTGAATCATTGAAGTTCAAACACATTCAACTAAAATATATTAATCCCACAGAATACCTATAGAATTCCAAAAATACTGTAGTTAAAATGGTATTAATATATTTGCTTATATTCATTTAGACATTTCCTTTGTCATTTAAATTAGTTAAAATATAATATACACTTTATCATGTGCATAAATATTTATATATAATTTTTTTGTTGAAAGCAGGGTACATTATATTGCGAGAAACTTTTATATTTATTTCATCTACAACTTGTAGGCTTTGTAAAACATAAAAAATGATCATATAGTGACAAAATATATTACAATGTTTACAAGAGGGGGATTCAATTTAAATATGACTAATGCTTGGGATGGCCGTTTTTTTAAATAAATAAAAAACAGCCATCCTTGCTCCCAAACCCAATCATTTCACTGCATCATGACTAGATTTGATATTGTTTCAAATCTAATTCAAGCAAATCATATGCTTCCAAACCATTTCAAGAAATCAAAAATACCACATCCACTTTTTGTTTGCAATTTATTGCTTATATAAACGCATATATAAACTCTAAACAATTGTTGGTAAAAATAAAATCTATCAATAATAATCATAAATAAAATCATCACAATGACTTTTACATGACATTATATTGCACAATTATAAGCCTTAACAAGAATCACAGAACACAAGTGTTGTTGTTGCTCAGGTTGTGTGTACGAGGAATGTTCCGTTTTCCTTGCTGCCTTCAAATGTCTTTCTGTATTTCATCAAAGTCTTTAGCTTCACAAACTGATGACCTCATGATCAAGTGTTCACAAATTGTTACTCTGTCTCGTAATCTATAGACCGCCATGATTAACACAGGAAAACATTTTTTGTTGTGGTACAGACCTGATGTTTCAGTGCTATTGAAAAAAAATATATTTACAATTTGATCTTGTGAGAATGTGGACTTTCAGGTACACATGTGATCTGGCTGCCTAAAGGACGAGTTGAGATCTGCACCACAACAAAGTCAAACCTCTTCCAGTCCTTTTCTTCATTTCACAGCAAAGTCACCAACAGTGTGTCAGTTCTGAGCGACGCTGCTGCTGCTTCCTGTCGGAGGTCGGGCGTCTCTATGTCGTGCCTGCCGCGGCAGTTAGTGATTGGTCAGCTACAGAAAGGCCTAAAAGATCCTCAGTTTGTGGTTAGTGAGTGTTTCTGTTCACATGTTGTCCACCTCGGCGCTGAGTTCAGGGCATACTTCCTTCAGTAACATTTCCATCAACACCTAACGGAGACAGTGACACAAACTTTGTTACAGGTGTCGTTACATATTATAAAATGAGTTTTATGCAATGATACTATAAATATTGATGTATGTGACATGCTCAAATCAAAATCAGTCACATTGACCCCGAAACACATTTTGAGTTTAAAATACTGTTCTAAAAAGGAGATGGATAGATCTCTAATTATGTCTATTGTTTTTGCTCTTCAAATATTCGGCAAAATATGTCACATAACGTCAGGACAGTTACCGAGATACGACAATGAGAAAAAGGCCTTCGAAGTTTCCAGTTTAAAAAAAATATTAGCCAAAGTTAGTTTAAGAGGGGGCTCAAGGATGAGTACTTTTGGGGCATGGTACCTCATGCTCCCCCCTTAGGAACACCATTGAATTAGCTATGATTTACATCTGTCGCTAAATTGCTCTCTTTGCCGCTAGTCGTCATGCCTTTTAAAACTTCAACACAGTATTTATCATCTGAATAGAGTGCTTCACATATAAATATTATTCTTACATATAGAAGATGTTTGTTAGCATTAGCCTCCTGCAGGGCGTTGAAGATCTTGATGATTCCATAGCGGGCATTCTGCTGGCCAACTAAATTTGTTAGTGCATCTGTAACAAAAAAACATATTGACACAAGGTAAAAAGATTAGACATGTTCCTAGGTTTAGGATCTACTGTACATGTTTTTATATGTTTTCGTTGCTACCTGGGATATTGTCAAGTAGTTTCTGTTGAGCACGCTCCTTGGTTTCACTGCGCTCTGTGTCAGTTCGGACCTTGACGTGCGGGGCTAACCTCCCGTTGGGCCAGAAGGTGTCCCTGAACACGCTGATGTACACTACCGACATCTGCTCACAGAAGATCCAGTTTACCGTGTCCCGGATCTGTCTGAGGGAGCGAAAAAGAGATGTTAGCCTAATAGCTAATTGACGAAAATATAGAAAAAGTAGGAGTTGTCACAGGTAGAATGAGCGATGCCGTAAAAAAAAATAAGGCAACAGAAACATTGTGAATAAGTCAATACCGCAATAGGTAAATAATCATGACTTAGTCGTTATTTGTTAAAAATGTGGAAAAAAATCAAGTCCAAATTCCAGAGGTGGGAGTAAGTTCTACATGTGCAAGTCATGAGCAAGTCTCAAGTCTTCACCTACAAGTATCAAGCAAGTCCCAAGTCACTGTGATGAGAGTCAAGCAAGTCAAGTCATTGCTCAGGTCAAGCAAGTCAAACGAAATTCTGATGAATAAGCCCAGTTTCCGTATTTAAATCAGTTAAAAGACAGTGGTTATGAAAATGGATTCAACCCACACTATGATCTTCATTACATACACAGTTAATCTTTTGAAATCTAATTTAGACCGATGACAATCATATTAGATTCATATTAACCCCAGAACTGTAGACAATATAGCTAGGACTCAAAAAGTCTGTTCAAAAAGGCAGAATTCCAGGTAAGAAAATCATAAATGGCATTTGCCATTACACATATTTAATTTAAATTTCTGTTAACACTAGAACCGCCAACAGACCCTACATAGATATCATTTTCAAACCATTTAATTTGTTCCTCTTCATAATTTCCTTATAAACTAAGCAGGACGATTTAAAACTCACTTAATTGGGTTAATTTAGAAATGGCTTCAGTTTATCATCATAACAGATCAAAAAGTTCAGATTCATTTTACAATAAATCAAGGAATGATGCACTTCTACAAACAAAAACAACATAATTAAAACATTTAAACAAACTACTAAAAGTAGATGAACTACATTATTCAAAAGTTTCCAGTTACTTCTTATAATAACACAGGGGAAATAAACGAGGCATCTCTTTTCCTCTCTCTCTCTCTCTCTCTCTCTCCGTCAGTATCAGGGTTAGTCAAAATGAATCCCTTGGCGGTTCTAGTGTTAATTTACCGTTTTGTCTTCTCTTTGCAATGCTTAATCGATTTTAAACCAAGTCTAACGTAGCTTAAACTTAACGTTAGCTTTCTAGCTAACACAACACAGTCACGTAGCCTACCTTTCTCTGTGTTTTTTTTTTGTAGTGACGAATGAAGTTGGATGTTGTGGTGCTCCAACAAGGCGTTTAGGACAGAGTGAATACACATACTATACAGAGATGCTGTATGAGAAACCAATGTGAGTTTGGAAAATTGCACAATATAAATCTATTTTAGTAGACCTCAACAATGGAATTATGATCAGTAGAAATGGCCATGACATGGGACCTTTAAGGTGACATGAATTGAGCAATTTGGCTACAAATGTTATATTTGGGGTTTAGTGTTGTTTCAATGGCCCTTCACATTATCTGTAATATCAGAGAAGATGATAAAAACTAAAATCTACTGCAACAGAGGAAAATGGAGATGACACAGTGTTATATCAAGCTGATCATAATATTCAACTTACATTTTTAATATTACATGTCTTGGTAAAAGCCTGTTGAGCCATAGCTACAGGATGTGTCCACTTTCTTTGCATGCTGACATTTTCTTGGCTTCTCATGTATGAGCGGGGCTTCCTTCTGGATTTGATTAAAGGCCAACGTACTCCGAAAAATACCAGATTCCTGAAAGAACACGCGATCAGTAAATGTCACAGGCATGAGAAGAAAACTCTGTATGGGGTTATCTTGTTATTAGGATGTTACTGGTATATTCTTATTTTCACCTTTGGACTCGTGTTCTGAGCTTTGAAACGTGGGTGAATGTCATGTTACATATAGTAGTGTTGTATCTGTCATGTAAAGAGAGAGCAGAGTTTAACCCTGAGGAGGTTTTATTATCTTCCTCCTCTAGACAAGACTAAACTGAACGTTACACATGTTGTTTTATTAGCTGCTGGAACACCTCCTTGACTCTTCATACGGCAAGTATGTAGGTTACTCGGTTCTCTGGAGAAGCCAGGGTTCCCTCCTCGTGTAATGAGACTTTGGCAGCGTCCTAGCTATCCCTCTTTTAGCATAGGGAAGGTTTCCAGCTCTATAATTGAGGATATTGATATAAAAGTGGGCTCTGTGCTGCACTTTTTATCATCTGTGGGTTTTTACATCTCATATCATCTTATAATCGTGCAGATTTTTTACAGTTTGAGGCTTCTATTACATGAATGTCTGCTAATGGATGGCAGTCCTGGTCTGCAACCCCATATGACTCTCTGTTAACAGTACAGCAACAGTAGAATAAACTCAAACACTACATTATTTTAGCTGATGCTTTTAGTTTAAGTAATAATTGCATTATTGCTAGTGGAGCCTCGCAGATGGGGGTGCTGCAACACCCTCAGCACCCCCCCCTACCCGCGTCCATTCGCGAGGTCTCGCTGTCTCGCAGACCCCACACAGCAACCAGGAAATGAACCCAGCTCACACTGTCCGCTCCTCGCAGTAGCGAGCTGGCAACGTCCCGCCAACATGGCACCCAGACCCCACGCAGCATTCTCATCTGTTTGTCCTTACTGGTGTCATTTTCTGGTTGCTAACAAACGCCATTGTTACACGTAATCACTGATGTTCCGCTGTAACGGAGGTGTACTCATCAGAACAGAGTGGGCGAGCTGACCAATCAGAGCACAGTGGGCTCATAGGGAGGGGGGGCAGGAGCTCCAACAAGGCGTTTAGGACAGAGAGTTTGGAAAATTCAACAATGTAAATCTATTCTAGTAGACCTCAACAATGGAATTATGATCAGTAGAAATGGCCATGACATGGGACCTTTAATTAAAAAATATTTGTTTAAGTTGTATTTATTTTAATCAAACCATATATATTTTTTACAACTTTTTTATTTTGTATTTTATTGTATGGGCCAAGGTGCAGTAAAAATACGTAGGCTACCAGTTGTTCAGTAAAATCACAATTCTTTAAGAATTAAAATATGATTAAATGTGTCCAAACATGGTAATGCAGTTGTACATGGATAAACTAGACAAGATTTAAAAAGAAAAAAATGGAATGGAAATAATTAGTTATTGTAATTCAATACTTCAGCATCATGCATCCCTAACTCTTCCTGTCTTTGGAGTGTTTTATAGTAAGTAGTTTTGTCTTGTGCTGACAACCTTTTTTAACGTTTTTTCATGTAATACTCTGTTATAAACAGCCTGTCTGGCTATAATTCCACTAGCATTGTAAAAGCCAGTTGCGTGTGAAGTGATGGGGGTTGGGAGATAGAAGAAGAGACAGTGAAAGCCCACTTTATAGCAGCATGTAGGTCAGGGTCAGGATGAAGGGGCTAAAGTGTTTGCCTGGATCATAGTGAGAGAGATGTCTGTGTGTATTATGTTTTAAAGGGGACCTATCATGCAAAATGCACTTTTTGATGTCTTTTATACAAAAATATGTGTCCCCGGTGTGTCAGGGAACTCACGCAGCGTCAGAAAACAAACCCTCTCTCTTTTCCTCCGTACCCAAATCTCTAAATACGGGGGTACAACGGAGATGATCCAGATTTGCGGTGATTTGACGTCATATCGACAATGTGGACCCACAGCACTATCAGAAACGTTGCTATCAGAAACAATGCCCGACTGTTTTGGACGTAATATGGTCTGTGTTTACATTAGCATCGCTAACACTCAGAGCTAACCTGTACTGGAGAGCATGTGTGTGAAGAAGCAGGAAATAAAAAGGAACTCACCTTGTGGTATAACCGGCAAGAGAGAAAGCCTTTGAGCTCCATACTGTTTCAGAGATAATCCTTGATAATCCATGATATGGCGTTTCATCGCCTGAATCTCCCGCATGAGCAGGCATAAGCTCCGCCCCTCTTCTTTTTTTTTTTAAAGCTTTATACATAAAATTTGCTCTTTTGAAACAGGAAGAGAAATAGAGGGATATGAGGCATGGCTAGAATGGGTGATCTGTTTGGCCTTTTGAGCAAAACACTATATAGACATGTTTTTTATATATTTGTATATATCTGAGACCTATGCTATTGCCTAAAAATAGCATGATAGGAGACCTTTAATGTTATTGCTCTTATAGCGTACATACGGGAAAAATATGTACTTCCTGCACTAGTTTTAACAGAGAAAGCTGTTTTGGGATTTAGAGATATTTGGTTTTACAATCAGATACTGGATTTAAGATGAGCTTTCAGAAGAGTCAGTCACCTCTTTTCTAAATCTGTCTGTAAATGTTTGGAGGGAAGGTTTGGTTTGGTTTTCTATGACTGCAGGTGCTGCAAACTGGCTGCAGCTTCTAATTTACTTTAACATACTTGATTTTCATAACAGATATTAAGCAGAAAGCAGTGGGGTAATGTTTTGTTTTGATGTCAGTATGAAGACAAAATGTGCGAGGTGTTTCCTGCTGAGGGCTACATTAAAATGATATGTTACATGTTGATACAACACTGAGAAAATCTAAATAGTCTGAAAAGCTGCAACATAATCAGCTGCAACATAATCACCCTCACATTTGTTCCTGATGTCTCTTTCCTTTATGTGAAACACTAATTACATCCAGATAGGAGCAGGGATGTGGGATCATTTATTCCATGGTTAAAGACTCTTGGCGTCACTTTTATGTCCTGTGGCCATCCCTTTCATTGCATTAGTCTTTTCTTTATAGATGAAATACAATAAATACTACTTTTTTTCCAATCAGAAATGCTTACATTTCTTCTGTTTTATTTACACAAGGATATGAATGTATGTGTAGTTTTCTGTCATGGCTGCTTTCAGATGGGAGGGTGGGCATTTTAATCATCTCAGATTCACAGTTGTGATGCAACGTTTGTGTTGAAGTCTTTATGTTGGTGTTTGTTATATTAAAACATTTTCAAATGATTATATGAAATTATTAAAGAGACAGTAACAGAGCAAAATAATTTTGCCCTGTTTTTGTCACGGCCCCCATCCCCATCTACTCACTCTGAATTGTGTAGGTATTGTTTTTTTTTTAAGGTTTAGTGTCGAAAAATGTTTTTGCCCAGGAGCAGTTAGGATTTGCTAACTACTTTTAGCTAAGCTAGCTGTTTACCCCTGCTTCCATGATTAATGCTAAGCTAAGCTAACCAGCTGCTGGCTTCATCTTCATATTTTGTGGACATACTGTATACGAAAGTTATAACTCATCTAACTCTTGGCAAGAATA